TGCACCCTCTCCAAAGCATCCACAGCCTTTTGGTAATGTGGTGACCAGAACTGTATGCAGTATTCCAAATGTGGTCGAACCAAAGTCCTATACAACTGTAACATGACCTGCCAACTCTTGTACTCAATACCCCGTCCGATGAATGAAAGCATACCGTATGCCTTCTTGACCACTCTATCGACCTGCGTTGCCACCTTCAGGGTACAATGGACCTGAACACCCAGATCTCTCTGTGCGTCAATTTTCCCCAGGGCTTTTCCATTTACTGTATAGTTCGTTCTTGAATTGGATCTTCCAAAATGCATCACCTTGCATTTGCCTGGATTGAACTCCATAAGTTAATTAGTTAATTTAAGTTAATTAGTTGATTCCAGCTAGTTGCCAAAACATCAAAACAAGCCTAAAGTTTCTGAAGAAGGGTCCCGACCCGAAACGTCAGCTTTCCTATTCCTCTGTGGTTGCCTGGCCTGCTGTGACCCTCCAGCTCCATACTGTGTTATCTCTGACTCCAGATTCTACAGTTCTTGCTATTCCTAAGGTTGTCAATCACACAGCCAATTGATACATGTTTCCATTTCAGAACTGGTTGTACATCTTCAGCTACATACAGATACATTTTTTTTCTGTATAAATCTCTAAACTTAGAAAAGCACTTTACCTCTTAAAGGGACTATATTCTTTCCCCCTATCATTTTTACAAACAAATTCTAGCTTCCTGCCTTCCAATTCACGATTACTCTACACAACTTCGTAACAGCTGTGACCTTAAAGTCACCACAAATCCTCACAGTGCTATCTGTTTATAAGACTGGGACGATGGGAGCGGCCCATTCATTGGTGGTTACTAACTCCAGCGCCCCCAGGTTCACCAGCCATTCCAGTTCCACTTCAGACTAGATGCCATATGCTACTGGACTCGTCTTCAGACTCCTCAGATAGGCCTCCCACATCAACTGAAGTTTAATTTCTACTCCTTTCATTTCCCCCAGTATCTGTTGACTATATCTTTATACCAGTCCCAAATCTCTAGCAAATGCATGTTTGAGTCTGCCAGCCTATTACCAACGCTCTAATTCAACTTTAATTTCTGCGACCAAGAGTATCTGAATAATTCGGGGTAGTTGCCTTTTACTACGTACAGCGGCAGTTCAGCACTCTGGTCCCTTAGCTGTACTGTAACCAGTTCATAGGCCTTCAGTGGCACCACTTGTTCCCTGAACATCTGTGATATAATCTTGGCAGACTTCAATAGCAGTGCCCATAACTTCTCCCTATAAACTGATTCAGGAATCAGAGACACTGCTGCTTCCATTTACACTTCCATCTTTCCTGTCTTCCCCTCTAATTTTGGATGAATCCAGAAATGATCATTTTCACCCAGTATAGACGGAATGTTTAATCGAAACTCTGCTGACACTGGGCCTTCTACTTCTCCCACAAACCTGGTTGATAATTGGTCTACTCCCCAGCTGGCAGCATGTACTTTATGTCTTGCATCAGGATTGCCTCCTTTAGACACCTCTTCTCTTCTTTGAGTTGTACCAGACAATTTTGGGCAACTTGCTTATACCTGTAGCACTGAGCTTCAAGTTCATTACATTGACTTCTTGTGGCCACATTGGCAGCATTCTACAGTTGGTACCACACTGTGCTGAGTTTCCACTACTTTATGGACCCAGGCATCATCACATGTTACTTTGCTGGTAGCCAACTCCATTGAGGTAGCAATTTCAAAAGCTGCCTTGAAATCCAGGTCTCTTCTTGTTAGTAGCTTTCGTTGGATAGTTTCATGTTGGAGGCAACAAAACATACAGTTTTTAAGGAATCTTCATGCCCCTTAGAGACTGATCATGTCAAAGTAAACTACGGAAGGGTTGTCTTCATTTTGTAAATTTTCCTAATGATGTACCTATGTTAGCTACAATGCCCGTATAATAGTTATCATTGTATGTACATGTATTGTTAAGGGGAGTATTGAATTAAAGGGGGAGGGGTGCTGCCCCATTAAGGTGACCCGGAGGCAGGAGCTAGGGGAGGCGGTGTAAATCCAATTGCAGAGCTGAGAGGAAGAATAATAAAGTATTTCTTGTTTAAGTTTACTTTTCACCTACCTAGTCCTGTTTGTGAACCATAAACATAATGATGGGCAGTGCGATGGTTCAGTGGTTAGTTCTGCTGCCTCACAGGGCCAGGGACATGAGTTTGATTCCAGCCTCAGTGTGGAGCTTGCATGTTCTCCCCATGTTTCCTTGTCTTATTTGTCCTGATTGGATGCATCACTTCACATTTCTCAAGATTGAATTCCATTTGCCACTGATCAGCCTGTCTCTATCCTTTTATAGTCTAAGGCTATCTGCCTCACTATTTACCACCCCACCAATTTTTGTATTGTCTGAAAATTTACTCCTACATTCAAGTCTAAATCATTTATGTAAACCACAAATATCAAGGGCCTGTCACTATCCCCTGTGAGACCCCACTGGACACAGATTTCCAGTCACACAAACACCCTTCAACCAACACCCTCTGCTTCCTGTCACTCTGCCAATTCTGGATCTAATTTGCCAAATTTCCTTGGATACCATGGGTTCTTATCTTCAGTATCAGTGTCCTGTGTGGGATCTTCTCAAAAGCCTTGCTGAAGCCCAGGTAGACTACTTAAATACATTGTCTTCATCTACGCACCTGGTCAAGGTTGCATCTCTTGATCAAACATTTGAGACGTTCTGCCCTTGAGTATTCAGAAGTAGTTTGGACACTTTTCAGGACCTAGAATGATTGCCTTTGGACATAAAAGAACAAAGAACAAAGAGCAATACAGCACAGGAACAGGCCCTTTGGCCCACCAAGGCTGTGCCAACACATGATGCCTTTCTAAACTAAAAACCCTTTGCCTCTTTGTGGTCCCTATCATTTTGTTCCCTGGCAATTCGTGTATCTGCCAAAATGCTTCTTAAACACTGCTGCTGTATCTGCTTCTACCAGCAGTGCATTTCCAGGCACTTAGAATCATAGAATCCCTACAGTGCAGGTAGAGGCCATTTAGCCCATTGAGTCTGCACTGACCCTCTACAGAGCATCCTACCCTATCCCTGTCACCCTGCATTTACTGCAGCTAATCCCTCTCGTCTACACCTCTCTAGACAGTATGGGATAGTTTTTAGCATAGCCAATCCACCTAACCTGCAAATCTTTGGACTGTGGGTGGAAACCAGAACACCCGGAGGAAACCCACACAGACACGGGGAGAGTGTCTGTGTGGAATTAGCAGAGTCACCCAAGGCTGGAATTGAACCCAGGTCCCTGGCACTGTGAAGTAGCAGTGCGAACCGCTGCCTCACTCGTCAGCATCTGCATTAAAAAAAAACTTGCCTCTCACATCTACTTTAAACTTCCCCCTTTAACCTTAAAACCATGCCCCCTGGTAATTGGCATTCTACCCTGGGAAAAAGACTCTGGCTATCCATTCTGTCCCTGTCTTATAATTTTGTAAGGTCACCTCATTCTGTGATGTTTAAGTGAAAACAAACTAGGTTTGTCCAATCTCACTTCATAGCTAATACCCTCCAAACCAGGCAACATCCTGGTAAACCATTTCTGTTCTATGCACCCTCTCGAAAACCTCCACATCCTTCTGATAGTGTGGCAACCAGAACTGTACATATGTTCCAAATCTGGCCTAACTAAAGTTCTGTATGACTGCAACATGACCAGCCAATTTTTATATTTTCTTCCCCCAGCAATGAAAGCAAGCATGCCATGTGCCTTCTTGACCACCTTATCCACTTGTGTCGACACTTTCAGGGAACTGTGTGTCTGGATCCCTCTGTATGTTGATGCTTACTAAGGGTTCTGCCATTTACCGTATGCTTCCCTCCTACATTAGATCTCCCAAAATGCATCACCTCGTATTAGCGAGAGTTAATCTGATCAGGGAATCCATTGGCCTGAAAGATGGCTTTGAAAATGCCTTCTTTCAGACTCATGTGAACAAAAGGCTACAGCAATAGGAGAAGCTAACTGCTTCATGCTGTTTCTTTGAGGTAGCAGCTTGAGGGAGTTTGCCACCAACAGAATGCTGCTGTCAAATCCCAAGTCTGTCCTGCAAATAACTGAAATGAGTAATGTGGTATGTGAGTTTGTGTTGTTGTGATGCCACGTATGTAGCCCATCCACCCCAAAGATGGGTTGACCAGATCAAACAATATATCCCTTCAAGTGTTTGTAGCAAGCAAGGTACTGATCATACCTAACCAGTTCAACACAAGTTGTGATTCTGCAATTCGACAGCATTTGCTGGATAATATTGAAAGTGTGAAGAATTATGCAGCAAACCAATTTAGAATAGTCAGTTGGGCTCTCAGTGAGCTCACTTTTATGTCCTGGAATCTGCATGTGTTAATGCTCAGGGCACTGTTCTTTGAAGGCAGAAAGAAAACATACATGCTCTTCAACCATTTGAACTCCGCAAAGTAAGTGACAATTGGGCAATACTTTAACAATCTGTATCAACCTGCTTGGTTTAAAATTTAAACCATGCCTGGCAGTGAAGTGTTGGTCATCATAAATTGTCGTATTCTCCATAGCATTGCCCCCAGTTAGAATCCATAGCCAGTTCTTGCTTTCTCCAATAACAGAACTGTGTTGTTGTGCAGTATAACTGTGGTTCCCCCCTTGTATTGGTATTATGAATTGTCCTGATGAGTGCATTAAAAAAAGCTTCAACAAAATGTGTGGAGAATTTGCTAATCTTCCTGTGTTACAGTTAAATCTTTAATGACCTCAGGGACAGGCATCTTCTCTTAATATCTTAGCCAAAGGTCAGCACCTTTAACCTTGTATTGCAGTGGAGTTCCAGTCTAGACAATGGATCTGGATATCCAGGGAAGGGGCTAATGAGAGATTCCTACCCAAATCCTGCCTCTGTTCTATCCCTTGCGGATCCTGCCAGTTGCTGGATTCTTCTCCATGTTGTGGTTTGATCCTTTTTCATTTTCCAGGTTGACGAAGATGATGATTCTGATGATGATGCTCCATGCCTTCCTGATTACTCCAGATTCCAGGACTCTAACCCCAATACCATGGAGCAGGGCCACCTGGAGTTTGCCTCCATGTTCGACACACTCCATGCCAAGCAGGGTGATCAAGAAGATCATCTTGAGGCTAAATTCAGACAGATGCAGAACAACCTTTTGGCAGCCTGGAGTATGCTTGTTTCTGTGAAGGAGATAGAAGGCAGGGAGCAGCTGCTTCAATACACAGTTCAGGCCTTGCTGCAATTTGCCCGCCTTCTTCCATTTGCCCCAGCCACACTCCCGAGCTCATCTATAAAGGGAAGGAGCAAGCTGGTGAAGAAAGTCTTGAAGAAAAGCCCAGGGATATACAGGACATTTCAGCTCCTGCAGTATTGTTTGACTGTCCTGTGCTGGGATTGGATACACAAGCAATCACTACCGCACGCTGTGAGACTCTCGGTAGACATTGTAAAGTTAATACTCTCTCAAAGGTTGGGGTCAACTTCGATCTCTCACTCACTCCTTGGCAGTCTCATGGTACTTAAATTAGCATCGATACATCTGGATGCAGTGTACTCCGTTCAACCTCAGGAATTCTTGGGTCTCACGTGGAGCATTGTGTCGGATTCTCTCCAAGCATCAGTATGTCCCAAGGAGAAGTGCTCTCTCCTAACCATAGTTGAGCTACCTTCCCAAACAGTACAAACCAGCCAGCGACCATCACACAGGTAGGGACAAGACCCACTTAGCAGTACCACAATTGTTACATAAGATTTCACAGGGTTTGGGCTGGGAACAGAAAAAGATATTGAGATAGAGAATTGGCCACATGTTGAATGGTGGAATGGGCTCAACAGTCAATGGCCTGCTCCAGCTTGTATTTTCTATGTTTCTATCTTCACACAGGAACAGTGCTCATTAATCACGATAGACCACCCTCTCACAGGAACAGTGCACATTAATCACTATAGACCACCCTCACACAGGAACAGTGCACATTAATCAATATAGACCACCCTCACACAGGAACAGTGCACATTAATCACTATAGACCACCCTCACACAGGAACAGTGCACATTAATCAATATAGACCGCCCTCACACAGGAACAGTGCACATTAATCACTATAGACCACCCTCTCACAGGAACAGTGCACATTAATCACTACAGACCACCCTCTCACAGGAACAGTGCACATTAATCACTATAGACCACCCTCACACAGGAACAGTGCACATTAATCACTATAGACCACCCTCTCACAGGAACAGTGCACATTAATCACTATAGACCACCTTCTCACAGGAACAGTGCACATTAATCACTGCAGACCATCGTCACACAGGAACAGTGCACATTAAACACTAAAGACCACCCTCACACAGGAACAGTGCTCATTAAACACTATAGACCGCTCTCTCACAGGAACAGTGCACATTAATCACTGCAGACCACCCTCACACATGAACAGTGCACATTAATCACTATAGACCACCCTCTCACAGGAACAGTGCACATTCATCACTATAGACCACCCTCACACAGGAACAGTGCACATTAATCACTATAGACCGCCCTCACACAGGAACAGTGCACATTAATCACTCTGGACTGCCCTCTCACAGGAACAGTGCACTTTAATCGCTGTAGACCCCCCTCACACAGGAACAGTGCACATTAATCACTGTAGACCGCCCTCACACAGGAACATGCACATTAATCACTATAGACTGCCCTCACACCAGAACAGTGCACTTTTATCACTATAGACCACTATCATACACAGGAACAGTGTTTATTAATCACTATAGACCATCCTCACACTCAGGAACAGTGCGAATTAATCACTGTAGACCACCCTCACACAGGAGTCATGATCAATATTTAGAAGATATGATCATTAGAGAAGAATGGTGTTCATTTATCAATAAAAACCATCATCACACAGGAACAGGGTTTATTCATCAATATGGATAATCATCAACAGGATCTGTGTTCATTATTAAATGCCAACCGGTATCACACAGCGACAGTGTTCAGTTATCAAATGTTCTGTCACACAGGAGCAGTATTCATTGGTCAGTGCATTGTGTATTATCCGGTACAATTTGTAACTTATTTGTTAATGCGTGAATTTGTGGAATTGTGGAATTCATTGCTGGAGAGGGTAGTGGAGTTGGCCTCATTAGGGGCATTTAAGCGGCTATTAGATAAGCATATGGATGATAGTTTAAGGTAGGGATGGAAGTTAGATAGACCTTAGGATTAGGGTAAAAGTTCAGCACAACATCGTGGGCCGAAGGGCCTGTACTGTGCTGTACTGTTCTATGTTCTATGTTCCATGAGAGACAAAAGCATTCACTTGTGGGACATGGGTATCACTAGCCAGCTAGCATTTATTACCCAACCTTAGAATGAAACTGGTTGAATGTTTCGATGAAGAACAGTTTTTACAAGAGGAATTCATGGAATGACAAATTAAAAGGGTGAATAGTTTTTTTGAGACTGTTTGATATGTTTGGTGGGCCTGTGAGATTGATTTAAAGATGGTCAGGGTAAGATCTGGGCAGGGTTGATGGGAAAAGCAGTAGAGTTTTTCAGGTAATGAACTGTTTGATATTGCCTTCTTGTAATTTGACGTTTATCTGATTAATGCAGACTGGCCATTGCGTGGCGCCTATTGTACCAGCATGCATTGCAGCACCATTTCCATATACGGAAATCCCAGCAACAACTGAAAAGAAACGACAGAAAGCGCCTTCAAACGGAGGAGGCTGTCATAACTGCACTCCTGTCCCAGATTCAGGCAACATTACAGACCACGGGAGAGAGACTAGGACAAAATCGGCAGCTTATGTCTCTTGCAGGTAGGGATGTTAAATAGGCAGCATTGACAAAATAATACAGTTGCGTAGAAGGAGCTTTACCCTGTGCTGTATCTGTCCTGGGTGTGTTTGATGGGGTCAGTGTCGAAGGAGCTTTACTTTCAGCTTAAAAGAGTAGCAGTAACTTTACTCTGCACCTAACCCTGCGCTGTGTCTGTCCTGGGAGTGTTTGATGGGGAGCGTGTCAAGGGAACTTTAATTTCAGATTAAAAGAGTCGAGATGCTTTACTTTCTATTTAGAAAAGTAAAAGGAGCTTTACTCTGTTTCTCACCCTGCGTGGTCCCCATTCTGGAAGTGTTTGATGGGGACAGTGTAAAGGAGGCTTTACTCTGTATCTAACCCTATGTTGTGCTTGTACTGGGAGTGTTAAATGGGGACAGTGCAGAGTTGGTTTTACTTCTAGACTTACAGTGTGCTGTATCTATCCTGGGAGTGTGTGATGGGTAAAGCGTTGAGGAGCCTTTACTTTCAATTCGCTTTTGATTTAAAAGAGTAGAAGCAGCTTCACGCTGTATGTAATGCCATGCTGTTATTGTCCTGGGATTGTTTGACAGGGACAGTATCGAGAGACATTTACTTTCATTTGAAAAGAGTAGAGGGAGATTTATTTTAAGTTTAAAAGAGTAGAGAATGCTTTATTCTGTATCCAACACTGCGCTGTCCATATCCTGGTAGTATTTGATGGGTGTAGAGGAAGCTTTACTGTGTATCTAATGCTGCACTGCCCATATCCTGTTAGTATTTGATGGGGTCAGTGCAGAGGAAGCTTTACTCTTTATCTAACCCTGTGCCGTCCTCGTCCTGGGAGTATTTGGAATACTGCATACAGTTCTGGTCGCCACATTACCAAAAGGATGTGGATGCTTTGGAGAGGGTGCAGAGGAGGTTCACCAGGATGTTGCCTGCTATGGAGGGCGCTAGCTATGAAGAGAGGTTGAGTAGATTAGGATTATTTACATTAGAAAGACGGAGGTTGAGGGGGGACCTGATTGAGGTCTACAAAATCATGAGAGGTATAGACAGGGTGGATAGCAAGAAGCTTTTTCCCAGAGTGG